ATAGGCCCAATCGCTCCACATTTATTGATGAATATGTGATTTATTGACTACTATGGACTGAAGAGCAACTGATTGCAAAAGTAAACGTGCTCGTATTATAACATATTATAACAGAACCAACATTAACAGTACTGAATCGGAGCTCAAACTTAAACTTGCTTATTTATATTAATAAGTGAACGTTCAAATTATAATGAGATCATTTTTGCTGCGCACAGAACTTTTATAAATTTCACTTAATAAGATATCACATAAAAAAGAGAATTCATAATTGATATATTAAAACATTGACATAAATTTTATGTATAAATCACAAATTCAATTAATAAAAACAAAGATTTTATTATATACCTACTTCCTCAATGCCTTTTTTTTTCAGCTCAGCTGTTGTTTGTTTACATATTGCATATAAAACATGACACATATTTCAAATTTTAGTATTTTCCCTTATGGGGAAAATTTATTTTTAAATTATTTAAATTTTTTTTTTAAATGAGCTGATTTATTGATAATAACTCATTTATATAAAAGCTCTTTGTATGGCAAATCATCTTCATTAGTGGCTATAATGAGGAAAACCACCTAAATGAGAAAGTGTTAATGTGCTTTAAAAGTTGTTGTATTCAAACACCAAATGGAGTTGTAAAGCCTTATCTTCTTCAGTAAGTTCTTCAGTCAACAACAAATATTTTGAGGCCTTGTAAAAATATAGAAATTTGTGAAAGTGGCCTGAAAGTAAACAGTTACTGATGTATTGTTATTTTTTGCTAATGTGTTACTATGTACTCAAACTTTTGTTGTTAAATGTAAACAGTGACAATTTTTTTTTTCATTTAAACACGAAAATGCAACACTGGTGCTCAGTCAGCTGTTGTCAACCGCTAATTATTAGGTCTGTTGCACGAGCTACTTATAGTAACTTTGAGTAACACTGTGTACCATATACACAAGTGCGTTCCACCCACGGTTGCCACTTATGGTACTTTAGTACCAAAATTGGTACTTTTTTTTCCGTTTGGTACCCTGGTACTCATGTTCAAAAAATGGTACATTTTCGGCGACCCAACTTTATTGTGGATATTTTTTATTTTTTTAATTAAGTATTGTTTTATACTTTTTGTACATTTTATATAATTTGTATTTTCTTCTAAAAAGACAATAAAAAATTTTGGACCTTTTTTTACAGAAATGGTACCTTTTTAAACCAATTTTGGTACAGAAAAAAATTTTCAAGTGGCAACCGTGGTTCCACCAGCAAATTTGTGAGTAAATGAGAGCATCTGAGAGAGCGTAACATCCCTGTTGAAATTTGAAAATGTTACACAGACTTTACTCATGCATTTCATATGAAGTAAAATTTGTGTTGATGTCTAAATCAGCTGTTATGGTTTGAATTCAAATTTTTGTATTGTTTGTTTGCGCGGCTTTTGTGAATGTAAAAAAATTCTGCATTTTTAATTGAAACAACTGTGATAAATAAATATTGAAATGGATAAAAACATAATAAATATTTTATTAAGTGATTTAAGTAACACAACACAACCAGAATATAACGTGGTTAATACACTTCGAGATAGTGACTCTGACGATGATGTAGAATTGGTGTATTCGATATTACCATACATAAAAAAAAAAAGAAAACGTGTGTGTATAAAAAATTATATACAAGATGTTATCTCCAAATATCCCGACAAGGAGTTCAAAACTCATTTCCGCATTTCGCGGAGTCTTTCGTCATGAAATTTCAAAATAGTAGCGACTTTATTGCACTGCGAGTGAGTAAGCGGAACATTTCTCCAGAAGCTCACGTTGATGTTTTTTATGGTTTGCTGGCCACGAAGCATGTTGTTTTAGAGATTTATCAGATCGCTTTAATCTCTTTTTATCGTTAGTAAACCGAGTTATAAGTAGGATGATAACTTTCTTTAGCAACATGTGGCCGGATATAATTGCATGGCCCAGCACATCAAAAAAGGAAGGAGGAAGTACAATTTTCCGAAGCTTATGCAATTTCCCAAAAGTTATAGGTAAGGATTTATGTGCATATTAACTGCGTATATATTAATACATGTTACTTTGCAGGTTGCCTAGATGGCACTTGTATAACTATTGATCCTCCTGGAGATCGTAAGGACGACTACATTGACAGAAAAGGAAATATTTCGTTATGCTTGCAAGCCATCTGTGATGAAAACAGAAAATTTATTAGCATATTTGTCGGACATTCAGGCTCCTGTCATGATAGTTGGGTCTTACAAGACTCGCCTATTTATATGCGACTACCATCGAAGTGTGGAGGTAAGTTCTTTGAAAAAAGAAATGAAATTTATTAAAACCTCTTACGTTTACAGAATACTATCTACTGACTGATTCCGCATACCCCTGTACACAACACATCATTACGCCATATAAAGACAACGGGCGTCTTACTCGTGCACAAAAGAATTTCAATAGAAAATGGGGGTCAGGTCGAATACTAATAGAAAATGCATTTGGTATTTTAAAACAACGTTTTAGACAGCTACTGTGTCACTTTATAAGAGTATGTTGTGTTTTGCACAATTTTGCAAATGGAAACGACTTAGAATTCACATTTTCAGAAGAATCTGAGGAAGATAATGATGTCAACAACCAGATCCCTTTTAGATCAAGTATCGTTAGAGATTCAATTTGTAATGAATTACAAACAGAAAATAACTTGGATTAAAGTGTTTATTTGTATATTGCTTATTTTTCATTAATTCATTTTATTAATATTGCAATAAAGAACTTAATTCTAATTAACATATTAACATCACATTTTATAAATATATACTTAATTCTATCTTAAAGTAGCTTTAAAATTACATTATTTAAATAAATTTTTAATTTTAACTAAACATATCATAAAGACTATAATATTAAAGCTAAATATATTTTTAACATAATAATAATAATATAATAATAATATGTGATATTTTAAAATAAGTTTAAAAATAAATAAATAAAATATATTAATTATTTTAATCTGAAAAAAATTATAAACTTTACATTTTCTTATAAATCACATGAAATGAATATTTATACTTTTTTACAATTTCACCAGTCTTTCATATTCACCAGTCTTTCTTATTCACCAGTCTTTCATATTCACCAGTCTTTCATTGTTTTCCTGCAATATTCGTTCAACATTTTTTTAATGTTGTAGACGGTCTTCCCTCATGCCAGCCAATATTGCAGTTGCATCACCGGTACCACGACTGGGTCTTTCCTCTATTTATAAAAAAAATTTTGAAATATTTTATATGTGATTAAATTAAATAACAACAGATATACCTTCATCTGTGGTACGGGCTGAAACAAAGCTAGTGCTACAAGACGCGCTCTCATCTAATAATAATAATACTCCTATTACTGGATAGTATTTCCCCCAGTTCACTAAAAAAAAGGAATCCATAGAAGTTTATAAGCGTTTAAAAATGCGAATTAAAATTATGTTTAATTAAAAAAAAACATAATTAAGTAACACATGCAGTTTTAATAGTGTGATTTTACCTTTGGTAAGGGGAAACCATCCGACTTCTTCCAGTTTGGCTGTTGTTCAACTTAACCTTTTTATACTGTCGGTCCATAGCCCTGAATTTCGATTGCACCTACGAACAACGTGATTAAATGATCTATAACTCTTAAACTTTATTTATGTAATAGTAATATACCTGAGTTGGAGTAAATAAGTAGCCTACATGAATGTGCCCTCATGGATGTGGAAATAAATTTCCACATCATGGCTTTACTCCTCAACTGTCGGCATTATCCAACCATTTTGAAGTTTGTGGAAATCAGTGACAACAACTCTTAAGTGGAATTGTGTGTCCATGTGCATTTTGGTTCTATATTTTCCTGCACACTGAACACTAATTCATCGCATCGCACCTCTTCAGCAACAAACCGATGTGACATTTCATCATCTAATAGAAAATAATATATTATTATTAGAATATTATTATAATAGAAAATTATTTAATGAGTTTCGATTTACAATGTGTAAATACAATTTCTTACCATTTTGCAATTGCAAAAAAGTTTTGTTGAACATGAAACAATTGTTCTTTCCTCCATTTCGTCTTTAATAATAACACAAAATTAAATTTTTATAATAAATTTATATAACACCACTTTAACTAACTTTATTAAACCAAAATTCAAATTTAAATAAATTAATTTTAAATAATATTTAAAAATATTGAGTGCTTCTTGCTTTGAAATTCTTTGGTTTTCAAAATGTATTTTGTCTGTTGTTTTTCAATTTCTATTTCTACTGTTTTGTAGTTCAAAAAACAGCTGTTCTCACCAGACTTTACACAAAGCTGTTCCATGAAAATCTGTGTAAAGAGTGTAATCTGGCACTTTCTTTGTGTTGCGCTCATAGTTTGTGCTTTACTTGTGTTTTACTTGAGTTTTACTACGAGTAGTTCGTGGAACAGACCTATTGACAATAATCTATTCATGGAATTCGTGAGTGAAGTAATATACAGCGAAAGTTTAAATAAATAAAATAGTTATGTTTCGATTAATAAAATTAATCAATCGCCTTAATAAAACTGAGTTGAAACACCATTGAATTAACTACATTTAAAAGAATGAATACTGGTGGGTGACGCTGAATCAGGAAAAATGATTTAATGTACTATATCTTGTAATTATTCATTCTCAATACAAGTTAATAATGTTATTAAATTTAATTAATTTTAAAGTAATTAAAGTTATGAAAGTGAAAAATTAAAAAGCATTTAGATTTTCAGTGACATACTGTGTTCATACAAAAGCTGCCTACATGCCTGCAGTAGGCAGTAAGTAAAAATTGATCATCAAAAATCTAAGTCAGTGTTATTCAAAATAAATCCAAAATGTGATTTCATGTTCTTCTTGATTTACTACAAATTAGTACAAATTCTCATCATAAGTCAGTAAATAATATTTTAAAATATAAAATAATATAACATTTTCAGATATATGGATAACTAGCAGGATGTGTCTTGAAGAAGAGTGAAAATTTTAGCATATACAGGGTCAGCTTTCTCACAGCTTTCTCACTGTTCACATTGACCAATAAGGCCTTTAAAACTGCATATTGGAAGCTTCTGATAAACTAAGACCTTAATTGATAACACGTATTTCTTTTATCATATATCATATTTGTTGGTTTAATGAATATTTCATTGAATTTATATATTTTTGTTTATAGCACAATATGTATGCAGGAACCATTATTTTTAACACATCAATGCAAAGGCTAACGACTAGAACTTGAAAGGAATCGTTTTATATTTATTTAAAGTGTAAGTAATAATGAGAATTAATTAATTAATAATCTGATTAATCATTGAAGAATATATGAATTGACTTTGAATAAATGTGTGTGTTCAATATATGCCAGTTGTTAGCTAAGGATCTGTTCAGAGCTGTGTAGTTCATTTGTTATAATTTAGTTTAAATTATGCAGTCATTTAGTTGTCATATAGATGAAATTCAAACAGTTGCTTTAATAACAGCGCTCAATAACTAATATAACGTTTAAAGATTGTTGATTAGAATATGTAATATATAACTTAGATTGGTATAAATTTGAAAATTTGCTTCTAAGCCCCTCAATGGGATTTATAATGTTATTGTTGGTAAGCTAAATAATCGGTTGATCATTTTTATAAAGTTGTATACGTTGACCTGATAATATTTTCAATTATGTATTTCGTAATATTTTCGAAGTATACGAAATGTATAGAAATGTATAGAGATTTATATATATACATACATCTATGCGTATATATTTTATGTCATAAAAGTAAAAGGTTTGGAAGCATCACTTGTAATCTTAAAACATGTGTAACATGAACCGTTTTTACGATTCTGTAATTCGATTCTGTAATACGATTCTGTCGTAAGTAAAACGTTGGAAGACCAGCATTATATGTAAATATGTAAATTTTATGATCACTGTTAATATTGTATTTGCTCTGCATGAATAATCAATTCCTTTTATTTTATAAAGAGTTCTGTCTATTCGCAGAACTTTTGGAAGGGAGTTTGGACTGTTTCTTTAAATTTTATGGACGGTGTTATAAAGGTACGTAATGCGTACTAACAATACGCAATCTATACGTACTTTTATTTTGGCTTAAACTGTTGAGATTAAGTTATAAAGGTTATACTAAAGAATTAGAAATTTAGAAATACAAATCTAACTTGTATTTCATGTGTATTACTTAAATTTAGTTTATAAAAATTGTAATTTACATTACATCTTACATCATACCGATCAGTGTTTAATTTAATGGTGGCTGACATATATCTTTTTTGTATAATAAATTATTTAGTTGTCACCCAAAACTTCTTGGATTTTTATTAAAATGTTTAACTATTTAAAGAAAGGGAATTTCAAGAACTTCACATTTAAATGTCTTAAATATAAAAACTTTGCCAGTCGATATGCAAATAAAGAATATTGAGAACAAAATTTAAAATGATATTTACATTGGCACTCCCAGTCAGATTATAAGGCGTATTGATTAAAATATTGCTGATTTACAAATTAATGCTTCCGATTTAAGAGTAAATAAACACTTTTAATTATGAATATATTAGTGATGAATTTTATTGGTAAAAAAGTTATTCCATATATATTTGAAAATATTACAAATTGGCTTAGATCTTAATATAGTGTTTCAATCCTAAAAAGAGCTCCACTTTATCAAGTGCAAAGTCAACTTCTCCTCCATTACATTTGAGGTTTATAAATGAAGTTAGTTGAATTTAAGGAAGATTAGATTAGAATTGCTTATAGTATTGCCTTTCCAGTTTGTAGTTAATTTTTCGATGAAGTTTAAGAAATCATTACTTCTTAATGCTTTATAGCTCTTTACATGTATACAATCAATAATAATTGAACTTATCTACTACATGGTCATTTGATAAAAAAAAAATATTCTTTATCTGAAGACATGTCCTTAATTGTATTCAAATGTTACCCGCTTTCATTCCATTTGTCCTTAATATGATTCAAATATAGTTTTTGACCGTTAAAGCCTCTATGTCAATTGGCGTATGATACACGTATTTTTTTGAAAGTTTATCAGATTTCGTATATTATTGATGCAGTTTTGCTTCATATTGTAGACATATGGTATATCTTATAAATTTCCATGTATTTTAATTGCAATTAATTTTCATAGGAGGTTACTAATAGATATATACTTCTTATTTGCTATCATCTTTTACGTAATCAACTTTTAAAATTTGTTTGTAATTTGCAAACTTTGAGATCAATTTTTTCAATTTTTTTCGTATTATCTTATCTTATAATTAGTATATTTCAGTGTCCGGTTTTCTTAAAATAGTGCTCAACCAATTATATCTACGTGGTAATTTCATTTAATGTATTAAAGGTAAACTTGAATTTTACATTCATTAAATCTTCATTCTACTATTATAAGGTATTATCTTGGACTCTCTATTTAATTTTAGTCAATATAGTTAAGTCTATATGACATGCTCTTGAAGTTTTTCGGTAAATTAATAGAATTTTTAAAAGTTGTTCGAAAGAAGACATTTAGAAAATAAAACATCCCTTCGCAGAACTTTTGGAAGGAAATTTGGACTGTTTCTTTGAATTTTATGTACGGTGTTATAAAGGTACGTAATGCGTACCTACTCCTCTCAAAATTGCTTAAACAAATATGATAGAATCTATCATAGAGGAACTAATTTTTAGTTTCAACATTTTTTTTGAAATTGAATTAGCAAGAAAAACATTTATAAATAAATATAAAAATGTTATAGGCAGATACACTTATGCACATGTAATCATTTTTTTTTATAACTGCATCCCATAGCCAAATATTTTGGTGAACAGTGAATAATTTTTCGCATATATCAATAAATAAATAAGTGTAAGCACAGTTTCAACTAGTCTAGTCGTCGTGGACTAGATTGATCAAGGATATATACTGATAACAGTTAAACTATAAATATGGTCACCATTTATAGTAAATTAACTAAGTAAGATTCTTGAACAGTATTTTAATTTTTAGGGTGAAGGACATAGTAGTCCAGATCCTTTAAAATTAATTTTAGTATTAACTCACAAGTAAATAACTAAAATAAATTTAAATACGAGTAGCTTGAAGAGAGCAGAAGTAGCGAGTCAAACTACTTATTTTCACAAATTAAAATATTAATAGGCTGACATAATAAACTGAGTTTATATCAGAAAATTTGTATCAACTGTTTATTAAATATCTTTGTAAGAAGTCCAATTTTAGTTGATAACTTGAGTCTCTTAAAACGTGTAACGAAGTTACTTAGTGTCTGAAATAAGTAATGATGTTTAGAGTGGTGCTTCTAAAATGTTCACAGATATACAAAGTTTGGATTTGATTATCAATGTGTCAAGTACATGATAATGTCACTAGGACTATTGATTATAAAAAGAATCATAGAACTGAAAATTTTTAATTAAAAATGGTTTCAAAATTTATTAATGAAATATGAGCATCAGAGCAAACAAAAATATTCTTTTTAATAATGTTTATCGGAAGCAATATCAAAATATCAGCAATAATAGAAATCTGTCTCAAGAGAGATATACGCGCTGTGGCCTCTACCATTGATAAAAGTGGGAATTGTTTTACTGAATTGTGTTATTGGGCACCTAATGCTCTCTTAAAATTTTATAGCAAAACTGCAAATATTAAATCGAGTCGTGATTGAGTTAAAGCTAGAGTGGCTTCCGGTCGCGTAACTACATCTTTTGTTATTGCAAGCAGCTCTTTTAGTTTGAGGTTGCCTGTCAAGTCATCACCACCCCCATGGTGTTCCAAGACAGTCATTCTTCTGCTTACCAGTGCTGGATATTGGAGCAATATATGCATCGCTGTCTCCTTTTCTTCTTAACATAATCTACAAGTGTCTTCCTCAACAATAGTTATCATTTTGAGGTGAGACTTGATGTTCCTTTGTCCAGTAATCAATGAGACCAGCTAGCTTAGGGTGCTCCGCGGATAGCTAAGCACTTTTATCGTTTTTATGGCCAACGGTTTCGGCATTATGAGTTTAGTCTGTCTTCAAGTGCTCATCTCTCTCCATCTGTTAAGATGAAGTGAAGTTATCTACTTGTCGACATAGGCTGCAGTCATGTTGTAGCCCAATGGTATTCTGGGCTCTAGGTAGTAGAAGTGATAGCTCAATACTGACATGTCCTTTAACACACTTGACTGTTACCTCATTTCCATGTGCACATTCCATAAGCTTCGTTAAATATTCTTGTACTAAGCAATTGAGTCTATTTCATGCCATTTTGTTACGGAATATCTTGAATTTATAAAAAAAAATTTGATTGCCAAGTGATAATAATTAACTACAATAACTTTGTGTAAACTGCATTCAAAAGTATTAGATGTTTACTAGTTCATTTGGATCTGTGAAAGAAATAACCTACACATTGCTTGAGAAGTATTTGCACAAGAAAAACTAGTCGATTTGCAACTGCTGCCTTAAGCCGTTTGAATTTACTCATAAGTCGAATAGAGAAGCTCATGCTTAGTTATGTTTTCTATATACTTTTCCAAATTCCATTGTGGTGCATATTGCCTGAAGTCGATACTAATACTGATACTGGTACTGATAAAATCAATTCTTTTGCGGTTCCTGCCTAGGCTGTGACATTTGCCACTTGCCACTTGCCACTTGCCAGTTGCCAGTTGCTATTTGCCATTCGCAAAACAACATTTGCTGCTTGATAAGTGGCGAGTTAATGCACTGAAATTTATAATTAAATTATTTTTTCATAGTAATCGCTTCAGTCTTTATTTATTTATGCACTTCTATGTTTTTTTCTGCTATGTTTGTTTATCGTTTTAAATTCTTCCACATTGTAATTTAGCAGGAATATTTATTGAAAAACACATTTTTATGCTACTAATTGGAATTTGCCATTGGCAACTCACGTAAACGCTTGATTGATATTACGAACAGTTCAGTTGTACCTGAATTTTTCCTGCTCTTCTTTCCCCGATTTTATTGCATTGACACATGCCTCGATTTGTGCATTCAGGCACACAATTTAAATTGAATTTATTTTTTTACACAGATACGTGTAAGCTCATAGGTAATATAAAATCAGATGCACACATCATACCCACATGGGTTTGCAGAAATAAATTTAAAATTTAATTCATTTTTAAGTACTAAAATGGATTCTTATGAGCACTTCGAGTGAAACCGTTCTTGGCTTAAGTTTCTTCGTACGAATTCCGAATTCCATTTCATCTCAGATGAGATAAGTGGAACATTCCTTAACCAGCAGTTTTTTTGCTCTAAAGTGTTCCCTTAGATTTTAAGCAAACTTGCTATTGTAATCTTACATTTTTAATTTTCCGTAGGCACAGCTCGACTAGCTCGACTCAAGTGAAAGTTAAGTACCTGCAAAATTCCTAAAACTACATTTGCTTATGAGGAAGAGCTACTACTCAGCACTTCGAGTACAATTAATTGAATTTAATGCTATTTTCAAATTTCCAGCTTATCAGTAGAAGCATTCAATGGAAACATTCTTCATATTAATAGCAATTTTTTGCAGTTTAAAAAACAAAGTTAAAGACCCTAAATTTATAGTTCCAGAATAATTTCGACTTAGGAAGAATATTGAATTTTTTCAGTTAGTAAATTTTTTCACCGATTTTCCTTCGTTTCGCTCCTTTGCATATATGCAAAAAATGCTGCTACTTTGTGTTAAAATAAGTTTGGGATTGATATGAAGACTCTTTATAAATCAGTCCTCATTTATCTAACTAAAGTTCAAATACTGTAACAAATATAAGCTTTAAAATTAACATATAGGGTTTGATTAATATAAGACAGTACATAATCGTGTTTAGAGAAGGGAAGAGTATGGCGTTGATATTGATGTAGCTAACGCTTTTCTTTCAATATCAATACCAAGTTTAATCAATCCATACTTGGTACTTGGTATCGAAAAAGTATTGCACAACGAAAGACAAATGCTTTAAATGAAGGCTGCCATAGGTGTAACCAGACGAAAAGAACATTTTAAAAAGGAAATTATAAGTTTTATTGGAATCTATGAAAATCTATTATCATAACATATGTTTGAAAGTTCCCAAACTATATTTTTGTGTCACAAATTTTAATTGGGAAAACTTTTGGTCCACATTATTTTATGCAAAACAAAAAAAACTGTTATATTAGTTCATGTTCTAATTAAAAATAAAAATTACAGCTAATAGATAAAATCAGACACAAATTTATTTTAAAGTATTTTTATCAACTAATATTTCGCGGTTTATCTTAATAAAGTTATGAACTAATATAAAATTTATTTTATTTTGTAAAAAATAATATAAATTATTAATACCCCTTTTCAATTTAAATCTAAGGAGAGCAATTATATTATTTCAAATAAACAATATGATAAAGCTGCAAATACACTTTGCCACCAATCTGTCACATTAATGAAAGATCCATTTTCCCAAGGGCCTCGAGCACAACTGACCCACTAAGTCAGTCAAAGGTCTTTCCTTTGTATTTTATCTATGTCACAAGTACTCTTGAGTACGAATTTGTACTTGCATTATAAGTAAGTATCGATAGTCACAAAATATTGATACAGGTGCATTTATGAAGAACTTTTAAATACTTTGAGATTTCGTGATATCTCTAATGGCCATGTTATGTAGAGTGTCACGGGCTCAATCAAAATTAATATTATTGTTGTTTTTTTAATGTAAATTCTTAAATTGAGAGTGAGAAAAAAAACAATGTGTCGGTTTAAATTTCGTCATGAGAGCCGAGGCTATATGAGCCTTGTCACTGAGGCAAAGCAGTGTTGTTCAGTAATAGAGAAAAAAAATGTCAGGAAGCAACACAGCCTATTTTATAAACCGGTTATAATCTACTTCTCACAGTTTCTGATTTTAAGGAAAGGAGAATATAGTTTTGTTAGTACTGTTTATGTTTATGTTGAGCCTTTTCCCAGTTAGTGCATCTGGGCACTTTTACTCTATGACGGCTGGGGGGTTACGGCAGAGTCCTACCCATCGCACTGACTAATTCAAGTATTCCTCATAATCTTCATGATTATTCAATGATTTATCTAAATTCTGCGTTCCGCCCCATGTGGTTAGTGATTACTCTGAGATTAGATAGTGCTAAGTCTGATCTGTCTGACCGGATCTATTCTAAGGTCTTTTAGCATGTCATTTGTGCTTATGTATCATGGCACTTTGAGAGACCTTCGGAGAGCCTGACTTTGAGCAACTTGTAGCTTTTGGATAGACACACCCATAAAGTAGTGCTAGTCTAATTATCTGGTTATAGATCATCTTTTCGTTTTTCGCGCTAAGGTTGTTGTGTTTGAAAAGTGGTTGTAAGCAGTGCAGTGTTTTCGCGCAACTACTTCTTTTGACTTGTATGTGCTTATGCCAAGTGAACTGCTTATCAAACGTGATTCCTAAGTATTTAATGCCGTTTTCCCAATTAATCGCTATGTCACCAACTCTCACTCGCGGTGGATGTTTCCTGTGTTTACGAGCAATAAATAGTATCAATAGTAAATAGTACCAATGCAGTAAAAATGCGAAATTGGCAATACTGATGTGACATTTTGCATAACATATGTCGTCACCAAAAACTCAAATTGAAATTATAGTTGGCTTTCATATATGAGCGCCAAGATAGCAACGTTGCTGGGAGCTTCAAACCGGAATGGAACACAATATTTTTCTAAGTATATTAATTTTTCAATATTAGCTAAATTTAAGCTTTTTACGATTTTCTTGAGTTTATTAATTTGGAAAGGCGATATATTTGTCTTTAAAGGAAAAATATCTATATTGCCATCGGACTTTTGCACACGACGGTATATATGTTACAGTAAAATAAGATTAAAAAAGGTTATTTTTTTATTAGTTTTTTCTGATAAAAATAAAATAATCGGTTGACGATTTAAAATTGTATTTCGTGATATATTTCTGATCATTTTACGTTTTCACTTTTTTCAAATGTGTGCTCTGGAGGTAGTTAGGACATTGATTTTTAACATGATTTTGTGCGAATTCCACGTATACGATTTTTCTGATTTTTAGTTTATTTGAAAGCTTGTTTTATTGCCTTTCAAGCACATGTGCGCGCAGGTCCATCGATCTCTTAATTGTTTTTTAATAATTTTTTAAGTAAGAAAAGTCGGTTTTTTTTAAAAAATTTGGCTTTTTATTTTGTGAATATCTCAGCTATTGCTCAACATACAATTAGAGGTATATACTAAATGAAAGATTATTGAATTTTCTATCTAAATCATATTTCTTATAATATTGACCAATAAGAAAAATTAAATTTTGTGTGCCAATTCCGATTTGGACCTCCAGCATCGTTGCTATATTGGCACTAGCAAGTAATATGGCAATCTCTTTTCATAATGTCAAAATATTTTATATATATGTCAAGAAATTTTTATAACAGCAGCAGGTCCAAAAGCTAAGGTGTCGGTTTGTGGTATTGAATACCATTGAGGGCAAATATTTCAATTAAAAATTTTAATTGTTTTCAAATGTAGATATATGTATTTAAGTGTGTTTGTTACATTAAATAAAACTTGAGTTATTCTTTCTCTCAAATTTATTTAGATAACGTGTTACAAAATCCTGGAAGCAACTGGAAGTACTTATCTAAGTGACTCAAGATGTTGAATCCTTTTACTGATAGAAACAATACTTTTGTTGATGAAACTAAGCCTAATGAATTTGAATCTGGAAAAATTAATAATAAGCAGTCATTATCTATTTATGGTGTTAACAAAGCTCACAGCAATTCTAGAATTTATTCAGTATCATCCGAATTGAAAGAAATGGATCAAATCGGTGCAACTTTTGAAAACTTTGATAATAATAAGAATAGTTTAAAGTCAAGTGAAGTTGTCGAATGCGTTGCCGAGTCAAAAACTGCTTGTGTTATCAACAAATGTAATAATGAGGTCTCTTCAGAGTTGTCAATTCCAATGAAGCAAGTAATTAGCGCAGCAGATACTGGTAACGGCATGTTAAATAGTGATGACATCGCATCAGTTGCTTCATCCTTTGTGAAACCTTATATGTATAGTTCAAATGTTCAGTCTGGTTCTAATGCTAAGACATGCTCTCCATTTCTTAATAACAGCTATATGGACAATAAAATTGATTACTTTCGCAGCAAATGTGACTCATCCGTGAAAGGTAAACTATTCAACTATTCATTTTTGTTAGCATTTGTAAAAACTAACATATTAGCAGATAATTTGCGCGAAAAACTCAATAATGAAAAAAAGACGGAAATGGAGTTCAAAAAACTTGTTCAGGAAATTCGTGTAATAATAGGAAGTCCATCGGTTAAGCCTTCTGCTTTGCTGCGAGTCTTGAAGAATATATATATGTTAGATTTATCACAGGTAACATTAGTTCGTAATCCATTCGATGTTGCACAGATATTTCAAATGCGATGTATCGCTAAAATAGAACCTACTCATGCCAGAATACAACGAATGCCAAAAAGATTATTAGTATGTAACAAACTCGAACAATTAGTTGTGAAAATTTGGCGAAAATTGGATATAAGTCATGTCAACAAAAAATATCAATTTAAAAACTTGTCAATATCTTTTAGAACGAATGCTGCAAATGTTGACATAGATCAGATTTCTAATGTACAATATTGTCTTCGCTATAAGTATCCCTTGAAGTATAATATGATGCCGTTGACAAAAACTAAAAGTTTCCGTCTTCTCAACTCTTAATACCTTAGTACTCAGTCTCACAAGTATTATTCATTTCTTATATCGAAAGTGAAATTTTTTCAAATGAAACATTTAATTTGAATGTAAATTTAAATAAACAAATTACACATTCTTAGAAAATAAATGATGTATTTTTTTTCACTTATTTTTATTTACTAAAACCTTTAAAAACAAAAAAATTGATTTGATATTTTGGTTGTATGTTGTAGGTAGAATAAGATATAATATCTACAATATAAGTTTGAAACCACCTATGATAAGATATAGTACATATCTAGAAATTCAATACTTATTTGCAGAATATTTATGCGGTGTGTATGAGATACATTAGTCTACTTATTAGATTTATTAGAAGATACAATAAATAAATGTATGTTTAAATAAAAAAAAAAAACAAGTAGATGGTGATATTTGAGGGTTATTAGGTTAAACTTTTGGAGCTTTAATCGCGTATTTTTGTCCCTCTGTTTAGATGCTATATAAAAAATGAGTTTTCCAAATAAATACAATTAAAAGATTCAGAGTCAGATTCAGTCAGATTTAAATATGGTATATAAAAAAAATTTTTAATCTTTTAGCACATTAGGTTCATCTCTATATTTTAAACAGAGACGAGTATTTAACGTATTGGTTTTTTATTTAGTTTTCATAAATTTTTTCCTTATTCCAAATAAATCAAGTTTCCATGAAAACATGTTATTTAGAACAGTTATTGACTGGTATAAGCCGATGCATAAAAAGAACTTGATCTAAAACTAACAAAAAATAAAAAATAAATGGCTTGGCTTCATCAGGTTCTTTATGTGCCAGCTGGAGAGCAGCTCTTCTTGTGTACATGTTAGCTTTGGTGGCTGCATGTCAAAACGGAGTTGCCTGCGCCCATGTAAACCTAACCCTTTTGTATTTTGTACTCTAATTTGAATTTTTTCTCATGGCTGCAAATTCATTTCGATTGATTTCACAAATGCCCCGTGAACCGTGCACAAATCGCAAAGCATCATTAACTAGCAAAGATGGATTTTATTTAAAATAATAAAGAAAAAATTGCGAATTGTAGCAAATAATGACACAAAATTAGGCTAAAGCAATGAAACAGACTAGGCGGGTCCTTTGAGGGGCGCACAGCGCAAACGGACGTTAATTGTATCTGCTAGCGACGAGCTTGAAAATTGCAAATAAAATCAACAGATTGTGTTGGAAAAAAATGCTTCTAACCATAAGGACTTCATTGGCATAGTCACTTTAAATCTGTGGAGTTATTATACTCTTTGTTTTTGTTGTTGTTGTTGTTGTTGTGTGTTGCATGTTTATGCGCTTAATTTAAACAGGAAATCCTAGTAATTTATTGTTTAACTTTTGATTACGACATAAAACTCGTCTACATTTACATACCAAACAATTGCAAAAGTTTTTTCAAGTACCGCAGCGGTTTCATTTTACGCTAGTAATTTTTGGACTCATATTACCAAATGAACACTGCCAAACATAAGTTTAGGTGCAATTTGCAAAAAAAACTGTGAAATTGTGGGTATAAAAGAATTAGCAAACAACCACAATAAATTCTGTAGGGGACACCTTAGGTGTAGATTTGGAAATCCCCGGCAGAAAGCCCTAATTAGTTACTGAAAAGATGCACTTAAAAGCATGTATAAAATCTGCTAAAAGTTGTGGAACTACCTTAAAAACTTGACTCCGTAAATGTAGAAAACGAAGTTGTTAATATTGAAGAAAATGACCTAATGCGGATGATAAACCGCTGGGATATTGCAAGAAACCAGTAAGGAGGCATATAAAAATGGTCAATTCAAAACAATAGACACGTTTTCAAATTAATAAGCAATTTACAAATGCTATAGTATTTATAATATAATCTCTTCTATATATATAATATATAAAAAGGAATACTACTGTTGTTGTACGTATGTTCTTCTTTGTTTGCACGATGTGCAGAACTAACAAAGCAAAGATTAGGCACACTCAAAATAAAAAGATAGTAATAGTAGTAGTAGGGATAGTAGAATTTCTTGTCTAAAACTCTTAATGTAATTAATACTAAAATAGTTCTTGAATAATTCTTTCCCTGTATAGTATTATGCTTATCAGAAACTTACTCAACATTTCCAAGGCTTTTGTGTTAGAAAAATCTTAAAATTGCGTTTCGGTCAGTTAATATTTTTAAAGGCGAATCTTTCGTGATATCTTTAAAATGGTACATTATCACAAAAAATGAATGGCATCCTCTCGTTCTTGAAGATGACACAGAGTATATTTATTATTTTGTTGATATTTGTGCGTCTTACAGTTAAATTTTAGAATTTCTGCTCTAGCTATAATCAAAATCTTCGATTTTTTTACTTCATTGATCCTTTGTGTCAGTTGAAATTTCTTATATTTTGTTGCTACGCCCTCATTTCTTGTCTCCAATAGATGCTTCCGTATCTTCAATTTTACCGTTTTCAAAAAACTACGCATCTATAACACCTCCACACCAAATGTCATACCATACAGTCATATTTTGTGGATGGAATGGTTCTTCGACAATTACTGGTGGATTTACACCGCCTTAGATGACACAATTTTGTTCGTTGATACATTCATCAAGCGGATATATAGGTTTCAGTATTGAAGAATATGCAATGCAAAAAATTATCATCTTAAGGTTTCACCTACCCTTTACATTGAATAGATAAAACGCTTTAAATGGCATTTTGATTGATATATGCACTAAAAAGAAATCACTAGATTATTGTGCAAAATATTTGTATTTTGTGTGATTGTACGTCTTAATCCTTAGCAAAGGAATGGATATTGGATAAAGAATGGACAACGAATCAATCGTGCTTCGTTCTTTATTCTCAATTCACGTTACCATCGAGACACAAACATATTTCTCATTAACAAAACAAAAAAAGAAGTTAGCCAATAAAAATGTTCTTAAAACTTTTCTTAGATATTTAAAGCTTTTAATACAAAAAAATTTGAGCAAAATTGGCAATCCAAAATAGCAAAAGTTATTTTCGCTTGATTGAAGTCATTATGATCGTTACTCTATCTCTCAATAGCTCCACGAAAGGAAAAGCACGTGATTAAGACTGAAATCAATGAAAAATGAAAGTAAATGCCTCAATGGTTCTTTACTTCCTTAGATTCAAAAAATTTTAGCCAAAAAGAAAACTTCAAGTACAAAACTTACCTAATTCCACATTTTTACCACTGCGATGTGCATTCGCTTAAATATGAAAATAAAATAAAATCAGAATGACAATAATCACAACAGTATCGAAAATGGGATGCAAAGTATTTCTGTCGCAATCTGGAATAAAACTGCCATGATACTAAGCATTTCAGGAAAATACCCAACAATTTTCATTAAATCAGAAAAATGTTGATGATATGAAATTGCAAGCAACTATATTCGGAGAAGCGCTTCACCATCAGACATGGGTACTATTTTCGGGGAAAATGTAATTTGGAATTATCAAATTTTAAATTGAAATATCACAAAAGAATATATGCACTGACTATCGATTTAAGAGATTATAGGATATGACAGCTAACTAATGCCATGCATTTGGCAAGATGCTTAAAGTGTTTTAGTTCAATGAATAGCAGAGATTTGCAAGTCCTCTTCCCGCATAACAACAATTCCACAGCCAAGTAACATTCCAGTGAGGGCTTAGAATTAGGTAACTTACACTGTCAGTTTACTTCATCATAAAATTGTTGAATTATGAGAAAACCCAATAAGCGATCGAACACAAGTAACAAAAGAATTTCCGTTTCGTGATTCTGAGTTAGCAACATTGTTTTACTGATCTATACCCAACAAAACTGTCATCTAAGGCATGATACGTTTACTCAAAAATTTTCTATTTAGCGATATAGATTACGCAAAGTAAAGAACATACGTTGAATGAAGATTGATCATTGTTCACATGAATGATTGTTCTTAAGACTAATTTGCATAGCTCAACAGAACAACAAGCTACAGTCCACACGATACGATCTGTTTCGTATGTTGGACTAAAAATTTTCCGGATATGTAGTGTCACGTTTTGGTGATGTGAATTGACCATCAAGATCACGCAGACAAATCGGAATATACAGATTTTATATATATTATATATATATTTTATATATATATTTATATATATAAAAAACTTTTAAGTCTTTGGAAACGAATATCCATATACATTATATACATGTAATTGTCAGCTATGTGTCAACAAATCAATGAAAATCCTCCTAAAATAAATTGTTTGCAATGAATGTTGTAGTTAATATCATGCAACACTCCATTTCTTTACTCTAATGTCTCCCCCGCAGCAATCTTCGGATATAGATTCTAATCTTTAGATATAGATTCTTTAGTAAGAAAGTCGTGAGACTAATTGGATTAAAAGACTTAGTGGTTCAGTGGTTTATTTTTAAATTTAGGTTTTATGGGCTCTCTGATCACTGCAATGTTTGTGACACGAAAAATGTTACTTTCAGGTAAACTGTAGCATGTTTGAAGTGGGAAATATGTTGAATAGATATATATAATATATATACTCTCAGATACCCAAGTTTTTTTAAAATGTTTGAAATTACTCCAGACAACACATAGTCTGGACTTTAATTCTTTTACGTCTGTAAACAAGATGTCCACAATAAATTTTTTCTTCAGATCTTCGGTCACAAAGCTATAGCAATCAAACTTACAGAGATATTGTTTGCTTTATTGTTTGTATATTGTATTGAAAGTTTTCTAAATTAGGCCGTGAAATTTAAATTAAAAGGATTCAATGATTTGTCGACATCTGTAAGCAAGTTTACACTGTCGGTTAGGTCAACATGTTGGTAAATGCAATCTTCCTTTTAATGATTGTTTCTGCAGTTCTGTGAAGTGAAGGAAGTGAAATGTGAAGGAAGTTCTTGACATATGTGTTGGCACAGTCCAGTTACACATGCGAGGAACTTAATTAGCAGCAAGTTCTTTTTTTAACACCATCTCAAGTTTTATGAAAGGTTCCATATGATTTTAAAGCTATGGAATTTTGTTTAGTAACGCAATAAGCCAGT